GATTAGCCAATGAGGATGAAGGGGCTTTACTTTTTTTCCCACAGACAGTGGAAGAGCATTTTTTTTTTTTTTGCAAAGATAACGCATTTTGTTATTGCTGATAGAAATCTTGGTAGCCTGGTACGCCTCAGTGAAGTAGCCAAGGCCTTGGTCAGCGATGAGTATGTGCTTTCAACCGCTTTTGATAGCAGTAGGTGGGTTGCGTCTTCAATCCTATTTTGTAGACCTGACTCCGCAAGAATGATTTCAATTGGTGATGTTGGAAAAGCTCTGAGGCTACGGCGTATCGCGCAGTGGTATGGGGCACATATAAGCTTGATKTTGTTCTTCGAACTTCGTCCGTAAAGCGGAAGCGCATAGTCGATTTATATACGGCAAACCAAATATGTTTGCAAGAGTAGCTGAAGCAAAGTAGAAGCACACGCGGGTTGCTAAATGATTAGCGGAAACTCGGAGATAACAACGACAGAACTGCTCTGCACGAATGTTAGTCGGTGACTGCGTGGCAGTTAATTGATAACGCTCATCTAAGAACTCGTCCTCTTTTTTCTAACAAGCAACATAAGTACCAAGTTTCATAATATCTCAACTTGCAACTACTCAAGTTACAATCTGCACAGACGGACGAATTTCAGCTCGTCCCGTCATCCTGATCATTTATATATATACATTATATATTATTATTATATTTATATATTCCTTTATTTTTCTCGATTAATTTTAGATGATATAAACACCCGTTAGGTTAGCAAAACTAACAAAGCATTTTCAAAACCAAAGATATTTGCTTAAAGTATAACATTACTAAACAAAATACTGAACAAAAAAGGGTCAACTACCGTACGTAACGGTGTTTATGTTGGGAATGTTAGACCTTAATATATGTGAAAGAAATGAAAGTTAATTCTTTTGTAATTCAAATGTAATTATGTGAAGTGATTATAAAAAATTATAAAACTAACAATGAAACCATAAATATCATGGAGTTATTCAAATATTTTGTTAAAATCTCTAACAAGAAATAGTTATGAAATTATTTTCTAGTGTATGTAAAATTGTGATTTCTCACTGCAGAACAAACGATGGAACTATCGATAATATCGGTAGTTTCATTTTCGGCTCAATATCAATATTTTATCTTGACTAAATATAGCTTAATTAGTTTTAAAAATAATGGAATTTAAATGCCCCCTGCTCGTTTATGCATTTGCGGCACCTTACCAAAAAGTTGTTAATTACTGCTTGGAGAGTTGAGACAGGAATAGCCGCAATTGTTTCTCGAATTGATTGCCTCAGGTCATTCAAATTTGTTGGTGTTACGTTGTAGACTTCCTGTTTGCAATAATCCGACAAGAAAAGTCAGGTGCAGTAAGGTCAGGGGACCTGGGTGGCCAACGGAATGTGGAGTTTCTGGATATTAGCTTATTGGGAAATTTTCATCGCAATTCTGTCATAACAGGTTGGGCCATGTGAGGAGCTGCACCATCTTGCCGAAACCGCACAGAGTTGAAAGAAATTCTCATTCGGCGTAATTCTGGATAGAAAAAGTCTCTCAACATGCTCAAGTAACGGTCTCCAATGCAGCGTGATGAAACTGCACACCATACTGTGACACGAAGTGGATGCAATTCCGTCTCATGGAGTATCTGTGGGTTGGAAGCACTTCATATTCGACAATTTTGTTTGTTTATGTTGCCGTTTAAATCGAAATGGGCCTCGTCAGACATGAAAAGACAGTTCAACATGTTTCCATCCTCTTCCACTATTTGAAGCATCTTCTGGCAAAATTCTACGCGAATCGCAAGTCTGCAGCGTTTAGTTTGTTGGTCCATTTGAATTTTATATGGGAATAAGTCCAAATCTTTGTGCATAATTGACTGTAATGACTGTCTGCTTAAACCTATTTGAGCAGTTAAGCTTCTTGTCGGAACAMGTGGATTGTTTCGTATGRCAGCAGCTCCATCAGCGATTATTTCCTCCGTTCGAACTGAAGGGTTTCGATGGTAAGGTCTTCTGTTGACTGTCCCATGATCGGAAATATTTTTTACAAGTCTCATTATGGTCCATCTGTTCGGAGGATTGCCACCAAACGTGCGCCTATACTGTCTTTGAACCGAAATTATGGACTAAAGTGCGTGATAGCGGCGGACAATCAAAATTCTTAATTCAGTGCCCCAGTTATCCATTTTTGTTAAATGAAAAAGTCAATCTGCAAAATAAAAAAAATTAACCAGATTCATTACATAGAAAAAAAGTTATTTACTTTTTTTTTGGTAGCGGCTTTTATCAGCCACCCTGTACATACTTACAATTTACTCAGCTTTGTGGTTCTCAATAAGATTCGACAGTTCAATCAAAGATGGCTCGTGCCATTCTTTGTTCAGTTTCTAACGAAGAACTCATAAAAGGGCTGTCGGGTGACACGGCAGAGGTATGGAAATTTAGTGAATTCCCCTCTCTCACCGTGGCAGTCAAGAGAACCGTCAAACTGGTGACAGAGGCATCTTCCAAAGTTATTGGCCGAAAATCTCGTGATCGTTTTATACGCGTTACACTGAAATCTAGGCAACAAGTGCCAAAGTTTAGTACAAAATCTGATTTTATCAATAAATTTGACACAGATTCAGACTAAAACAAGCCTGACATATGGTTGGTTGGTTGGGTTGGGCTTGGGAGGAATCCGAAAAGCAGCCACCCTCCCGCGGTGGGTTCTGGGTGACCAATGCAGATTAGCTGCAACAAKTTTCACCTTGTGCAGTGGCGCGCCGCATTTTCGCTCGTATCTCGGGATACGATCTTCGTCCTACGGCCATGATCACATGTACCATTTTGCATTGGAATCAGGAAGTACTAAGGCAACTTTTCGCACTATTAGAAATCTCGAATCGAGAAAAGTCCGGAATCGACCCACCCTATTGTATGATTTTCTACAAKCCACGTGGATTGTGACGMCCACTTGAGTTTTTAAATAATCAGTAAACTCATCATTTCTCGCGATACTTGCATCGATTAAAGTAGGCATTCCAAACTGAACACAACAGTTTCGTCTTCAGTCAAGACTTTATTACAAATAAAGCAAAGTTT